TGCTGCAAACAATGGAGTTCACTGTCATCCACTGTCACATGACTTGGCAGCATTCCCACCTGCGAATATGACCAGGCCGTGAGACACGTCGGTGTTCCTGATCTTGCAGCCTCGCAGCATCATGTTGTCCAGATCCAGTGGGTAACGTTCCCTTTGCCACAGCATCGTCCCGGTGAACTTGTCCAGACGGTTGTTGGGCTCCTCACAGTCGATCAGAGCTACAGGCAAAAAAAATAAAAAAAAAATATATTCAGATCTGTTTTACAGTGTGGTTTAAAGTTGTCATTTTGCACATTATGACTAATCTTAGATTTTTTTTGTCATCATTTTAAAGATATTTTTTGCATGTGCAGGATAGTGTGTGGACTTCGGAGGAGACTTTTATAGTTCGTTTCTTGGACGAAGGACCACATTGTTAGACCTTGACATGCTGTACGAGTTGCAGTTGCAGTTGCAGATCGTTGGTCATTTCAACGTCATTCTTCTAATGATGACGTTTATGTAAAAGTCCAAACAGAGGACCAGAGGAGATAACTCTGAACGGACATAACATATTTATCTTTATCCATCTCTGAACGGACATAACATATTTATCTTCACAAGTTGAACCTGTATGACTAACGTTAAATTACAGCAGCGCAGACCTACGCTGTCCAGTTAAGACCAGTGGATGAAGAAGATATTTGACTCCTTATCAGATTATCAGACTGTTTTACCGTCAAACTGAGCCAGCTGATCCTCCTGCTGCAGCCTCTCGTCAGTCACCCTCAGTCCCATCTTAAACTTCAGGTTGGTCTCACTGTGAGGGTGAAACACAAATGAATCAAACACAAATCACCTGATGACCACAGAGTCCGTTTCAGACTTTGATTTAAAGGGGAAGTTCAATTCTTTAGCTGTGGTTGCATTAAGTTCTGGGCCATTTGATACAAGGCTAACGCTAAGTCAAGGTCAAACAGTTCTAAGATAAATCGAAAACACTTCTTCAATGGGAATAACAATTGTTTTTTTTGTGTGTGTCCATCTCCAACCATGTTTCAGTCTACACTCTGATTCTGTGATGTCATAATGTGAGGTCATAACCTGCTTCTATGTCTGGTCTTGGGACTGAAGCACAGCTCCTTTAAAATCAAAACCTGTTGAGAGGCTCAAACCATTTAAACAGGTTTCAAGTTAAGTTTGGTTCAAAATGTGATGGATGCTCTGATTTCAAATTGGTTCATTTTTAACACAAATCCGATCCAAATAAAGCTCAACACTTGGCAAAGATATAACAGTAAAACTGGTCAAAGCTGGTGGAGACAGAGAGCGGTCCGAAAACTGGTCAAAGCTGTTGGAGACAGAGAGCGGTCCGACCATCTTTCTGGGAACTATTAACTCACTTGCCAGGCTGTACTTAGTAAAGTATACTTGGTAGATACTCTTACCCATCCAGTTCTGCAGTTTCTACGTAACACAGGCTGTTGGGGTTGGAACTAGACAGCAACAGGATGTCAGCCTGTAGGAAAGCAAACACAAGGGTATTAATAAATACAACAACATGAAGGTTTTTATTCTCCTGAAAGGGATACACCAAAGTATACACAAGACATTTCACTCAATTCATGTTGTACAGGGAAAATCCTCGTACCGGAATAAAGTCGTTTTTCTTCATACGGACCACATCTCCCACCTGAATGTCCATCCACTTGGTCTCTTGAAAGCTGCAGAAAATTTGTTCATATTTGTTAAAAAAAAAAAAAGTCACAAAATTATATATTTTTTGATCAATAAAGACATTCATTTTAAAGGTTTCATATTCAATCAACTACAGCGGCGACATCTTTGTTCTCACCTGCCGTTTAGCAAAACATCACACCTCCTATTATTGATCTCTTTGTCCATTCTGTGTCGGGCCTGAGGACAATGAAGAGAAAGAAATCAATTTTGTTTTAAATGAAGCTTTGTGGACAATGAAGAGAAAGAAATCAATTTTAAATGAAACTTTGAAGAAATCTGTGATTGTGTCAGTTTAGGGTGGGGGGGCGGAGTGAGACATTAGTCCTATATACAAAAGGAGGGCACTGAAGACATTTCGAGAGGTGTGTGGGTTTGGCGTTCCAGTTGCAGGAATCTCACCAGATCATCCACCAGGTCTTTAATAGCTGTGATTCCCAGCACCACCACTAGAGGGATGAGTGTGGTGTACCAGGGCAGAGTGGTAATATCTGGGATAATCTGGAGTACACAAAAAGGTCATTGTGTAATGGCTTGTTTGTAGCTATTAAAAAATCAGGTGAGAGACTAAAGTGGTATTGCGTGTGTGGTCATACCTGCAAGATGAGCAAGGCCAGGAAGTACAGGTTGGCCGCCCTCTTGAACTGCTCATACAGGTTCAGTGGGAGAAAGGTGATGGCGTTGTACTTGTACGTCTTGATGGCATTTCCCTGAAGGGGAGGGGAAAACAAAAACATAATGAGAGGACTTAGCACATCAAAGGTTGTTTATCCGTGTCTTGATGGTGAAAACATTTTTCCTCTGTGACTCAGTGAAATGACGCAAAAGCGACTGACAGAACTGTTGGAGGAATTTCATTAATGAATCCGCAGTAATGATGCAGAAGAGCCTGAACCTCAAAATAAATATAAATATACACAGACTTCTAGTGATGTCAAATGCTTCTCGAGCTATAGTGCAAGCACCAAACTTGTTACTTTTGCTACCTCTAGTTTAGGCGTGCGCAAACTTTTTGACTTGTGGGCCACAACTGTCCTAAAAATGAACAGGGGGGGGGGGGGGGGGCAGGGGGAGAAAGATGGAGCGTTTGTGTGAACTAGGATAAATGCCAAAAACCTAAAACACTAAAATGCTTTTATCATTTTGCTACACCATCTATTGGGGGAACGAGGGTATTGCAAGTTTGGCGGGCCGGATTAAAAAACTAAATGGGCAGCATTCGGCCCCCGGGCCTTAGTTTGCCCATGCCTGCTCTAGCTGGATGCAGAGGAATTGCGATCATTAAGTAGATCACTTAGTTAAATACAGCTGCTGTGTACTCTCAACTACTCTCTTGAAATTAAAGTACAAGTACTATGATTAACGTTGTACTACTGTACTTCATAGTACAATGCGTCCTTGGCTTAGCCATAGTTTGATCATTTATCTACTTCATGTACTGTTTAAGGTCTGAGCTGCCATATTTTATGTTGATCATGCCGCTAGTACTCAAAAAGACCAATATTTAGGAGGTGCTACTCCGTGTAAAAACGTTTCAGCACCACTGCCTTATAAATAGTATAAATTGAGTAGTGATGAAACAGATAAAGTTGAGGTGAGGACATGTTACAGCACGCCTGAAAATCTCACTCTATTGTTGCATTGATGGAAAACTCAAGAGAACACGAAGACCGGCTTGAATTCTCCACACTGTCTCTTTGTGTTCTCGTCTGAAAAGGGTTTAAATGATGAAACCAGTCTCCTGGCCCAGTTTGTGGCATCAGTGTCTGCGTCTGGTTACAGATAACCATCTGTCAATCAGCCAGGTCTGGCCTGGTTTTATCTCCGGTCCCAATAAGAGCAGCAGACTGGGAGACTCTACCTCATTGCATTAGACTGTCAATGGTGTTGGCCATCCACTTACAAGTCATTAGAAAAATGTCACTGGTTCAGTCCTACTTCCTCCCACTGTGTCTAATTAAAGAGACAAAAGTCACCTGAGCTGGAAGATCAGGTTTCAACCGCAGCAAACATTACAATAAAGCTGCAGAAAAAGAAAAAAAAACACACACAAACTGCTCTGGCTGCAGGCCAGTGAGTTCAGGCAGTTGAGAAGGAATGTTCAATTTAAAAAAAAAAAATCTATTTTTTTCTTTTAATTGCCACAATATTATCAACCTACATGTTTTGGAATGATTTAGCAACATTCCATGTAAAATGAGCTTTAAAAAAAACAAGTCTAAATGAGCTAATGTTTTATTTAAACTTGACCTTTCATCCACTCTGGAATCTCTGGCCGAGACAGAAATGACTCAGCAGAAACACAGTAATGTCGTCCTGATGAAAGACGCCAATAAACTACAGCGCATTCCATCCTAGACTGGGTTTTTTTCCCCTCTTGGATCTGAAACTTTTATACTCAGTTACTGCCCTTGAGTCAATGACAATCAACCTAAACAAAAAAACGTTAAATGGCACAAGCCAAATATCTAAAAAGAATAAATGTAGATTTATATATTTTAAATGTTTTCTCGGGTACCATTTAAAACTTCCTACGTATGCTTTTGATATTACAGACTCAACACTTACAGAGTATCTGCTTTTCTTGATGCAGAGGAAGACTTTCTTCTCAAACTCTGGCAGCTGGTGGTACGGCCGATCGTTAGCCTTCACCTTCCAGCCAATCTCTGGGGAGAAAAAGGCTTTATTACAACTCAACGCAGGTGCTGTCACTGTAAAGACAAATGACAGAACGGTGGATCACAGTGTACAGTAAACCCTTGTTTTTCGCGGGGGTTACGTTCCAAAAAGAACCCGTGATAGGCAAAATCCGTGAAGTAGAAATCTTTATTTTTTTTACAATTAAATACTCAGAAAATGAAGAGAAAGAACGAACAAACCATTTTACAGTCTCAACCATTTGTTTCACAAATAAAGTAAAATAAAAGTACTTTAGAAACGTTTCAACAAATAACTTCTGTAATGTACTGTCAAATAATAATTTTAATCATCAACGTGAACAGAAGGCTTCAAATTGCGGAGATTAGCACCGCCCACCGTGAACGGGAGAAAATTAAATATGATTATTCCCTACCGCAGGTACTTTTGCCGGTCCAGAGCGTTTTGTCGACATTATGGGGTTTGATAAACTCGAAATTGCAAGAGAATTTGCACGTACGTAATGTCAATTTGGCAAGCTGTTTTACGTACGTGTACATATTAAACCGCAACGTTATTGGCGCACAGGTAGAGAAGAAGCGGAGTGACTTTTTAGCCAATCAGAATGCAGAACACAATGCACGATGCAAATCCGTGAAGTAGCGAAACCGTGAAAAGTAAACCGCGTTAGAGCAAGGGATCACAGTGTATTTGGTAAACACCAAGTACTGTTGGCCACTCACCGCTTGGCCTAGCTTCTACAGGAGGGTGTGGCGGTCTGGGTACTTCGGGTTCTTCTCCTTCATCAGAGGTCTCGTCAAAATCATCGTCTAACTCGTCGTCCGTCTCGTCGTCACTGTAGGGCATGACCTCATCGTTGGGCACCATGGACCCGTGGGTATCTGGACGACGCACACTCATTTTCGCACTTCAGGTAGTTCTAAAGGAGACAAAAATGACAACATTTCATCACTGACCAAGTCATTATTGGTCTTCAAGAGCTACATTTTCTGCATATAAAGTATAAGCAATATATATAAAAAAAAAAAACAGGAAAAAAAAAAAACAGCCTCGCTGGTATGTGGCCTGTACAATGCATTTTTTAAAAATAATTTTCTAGAAACATATCTTGTATCTAAATATATATACATATATAATAAAACATTGCATATTTATAATTTATAATATAATAAAATATATTTATAATATAATATTATATATGAACACTATATGAATGCTGTTCATTTTCTATTTATTCGTAGTAATCGCAAACAGGAATGCAAAAATGAAAAAAAAAAAGAAGAAGAAAAAAAAAAGAAAAACACACCCTGGTTGACAGGTAAAAGATTTTGGAGAGAAAGTTTTTTTTTTTTTTAACCCCAAAAGGTCACATGACACTGGTCATCAGTCCAAAGATAACCGATAATCAAACAGGGAAGTGAAAAAATGAAGCCGAAATTGGAGACAAAGAAAGTTGGTCGTATTTCAATTATATGTATATTTATCACTCTTAACAACCAGCCACTCTAAAAAACAAAATAATCAGTTACTTGAAAATTAATGGAGCTTTGGCTCAAAGGCAATGTCTCTGTCATTGGTGTGGAACCCCAGGGTTCACCTCCTGGGTGAAGATTGAATCCCAGTTAGGGTGGTTGGTACCTTCCAGTGGACTCACCACCCACAGGAAGGTTCAGGGGGGTTGGTACGGTGCAGTGGGATTTAGGTGGCAACTGCTGCGACCCAGTAACGAATAAGCGGACAAAAATTGATTGATGGATTTGAAAATTATTACTGGTTCTGAAATTTGCAAACACTATTTTTCGGGAAGGTTCAGGGGGGTTGGTACGGTGCAGTGTGATTTGGGTGGCGACTGCTGCGACCCGGTAACGGATAAGTGGACAAAAATGGATGGATGGATTTGAAAATTATTACTATTAATTTTACTAATTAATTTTTAATTATTCTGAAATTTGCAAACACTATTTTTCTGAATCAGAAAATTTTGTATCTTTTTCATTGTGTCTTTCTGTATTAAAGTGCTCCGTGTCAGTGTTGTGAAAGAGGCCGACATGCTCAACAAACACACCTTCATCCCTGTGTGTGTGTGTGTGTACACGGTGCAGGCGTGTCCCACACATGACCACAGCCACACAAACAAATGAAGGCGTTTTCCATTCAAACCTTGACTGGCTGCGCTCAGGCTGAGAACAGCGTGGAACAGCAGGTGTGTGTGTGTGCGTGTGTGTGTGTGTATGTTCAGATGTTTGTGGTTCAACTGCATCTATTCAGCGTTGTTTGTTCTTGGAAACCTGACTAAAGAACTCTTATCTGATGTGACTAATGGACTCCAGCATAAAGGATGAAGTTGGCACCTGTTCACCATGGAGTAGTGAGCTGGACATCTGAGGATTTTACCCCAGGGTCTAGGTTCAGTAGCTAGACTAGAACAGATTGGATTCATTGCTTTGATTTATCCATCTTGTCTATTTATCTATGTCCGCAAATATTTTTGTGTGCATGACTTGATGAAACCCATGTTCCCTACCCCCAATGTAATGGTTTAAGGAAATAACAAAAATTACGCAATAAAAACACATTGATTTCCTTGGCTCTAACATCAGTGAATTCGTTGTGGGATCTTAAAAAAAAGGGCACTGTGATATGACTACGTTTTTAAATCATAAGAATCCATTACCACCCTGAGGTGGCAGCTATGGGGTTTGTAATTAATCATGATTAATTGGCATTCTTAAATATGAGAAATGCCAATGTATCCACTGTCCCTCCTCTGCACACGTCCAAACCATCTCAATCTGGCTTCTCTAGTTTTTTCACCAAACCTTCCCGTCTGTGTTGTCCCTCTAATGACCTCATTCCTGATCCTGTCCATTATCTTTAACTCTGTCATCTCCAGCTCCGCCTCCTGTCTTCTGCCTATTGTTACTGTCTCTAAACCATACATCATGGCTGGTCTCACCACCGTCCAATCTCCTGCACCTTCACCACCTCTGCTCCTTGTAGCCTCACTATTTCACTGTTCTCCCTTTCATTCACACACATGTACTCTGTCTTGCTGCGGCTGAGCTTCATTTCTCTTCTTTCTAGTGTAAACCTCCATCTCTCTAGGTTCTCTTCTAGCTGCTGCCTACTCTCACGACAGATCGCAATGTCATCTGCAAACAACATAGTCCACGGGGACTCCTGTCTGACCTCATCTGTCAATCTGTCCATCACCACAGCAAACAAGAAGGGGCTCAGGGCCGATCCTTGATGTAGTCCCACCTCCACCTTGAAGTCTTCTGTCCTTCCAACAGCACACCTCACCAATGTCCAGCACCAAACTAACATACTTCTCTGCCACTCCTGACTTCCCCATACAAAAATTAGGTGTGATTAATACAAAAGATGGAATAAATAATATGGAAAATATGCAAATATATTAATGAAACTGTAGCTTATAGGGTTAGACCTAGGTCATTATTGTGCGTCTTGACACGGGCCTGTTGAATGTGTTGACAAATTATCTCGTCGCTATTTCATTTTATATATATATATATATACATATACATATATATATATATATATATACACATATATATATACATATATACATACATCCTCTTTTCAGTTGAGGACATGCAGAGTCTCTACACACAATCACTCCGAATGATGACGTGTAAGATGCACCACAGTATCAGTGCATTAGTGTGGTATTTTCACATTCGGGGTCATTCAGGTGCAGCTAAGCAAATGACTCACACTACTCTACAGGATCAGTGCGGTGCGTTTCTGCTGAAACCAGAAGTGAGTTATAAATGTATTCATTATACATCCTGCTTTTAAAAGGACATTTGATAGTTAAAGAGTATGAAATCACTATACAAAGAAAAAATTAAATAAATAAAAGCTGATAAGGAAAAAGGTGAATGAAACAAGTTGACACGGCAGTAATAATTATTTAAAAAAAAATAAAAATAAAAAAATACGGCCAATTGTGAGGAAAAGATCTGAAAAAAAAAATCAGTATTCTCTATAATCAGTAGAGAGAATTTCTTTCATTCAGAGACAGTGAAGTTTGACCGAAAGAGAACGAGCCGAGACATGAAAACTCAGAGGAGGGGGAGGGGACTATGAAGCCCAGGAGGCTTTATAAACAAGATGCCGCTCAACACAGGCTTTTTTTTTTCCACACAAATTCCTCAGGTCATATGACTCAACGTCAGTTGTTCTAAATGGGGAAAAATAAGACTTAGGAGGGAAAGGTTTTCTTCTACATCATGTCTTTAAGTCAATATCCCCCTTAAATAAAAACAAATATCAAATGTCTCACTGTTAAGATCAATGTCCATGCAAGTGTTTGTTTTTAGCCGCACTGTCGTCACTGTGCCGACGGTCAACCACACCTATAAGGAAATATTACATCAACTAAAGCTTATGACATACTTCACTACTGTTGCCGTTTTTACAAATGGCTTCAATGCCAACATGGTTTCAACACCATGTTGGCACGAAAACTGAACGACTGGGGATCAAACATCGTCGATACCCCCGTGTCCCAGTACACATTCTTTTTTTTTCTTCCATTACTTCCATTACGTCTTCTGACCCTATTTCAAGCTTTCCCAATCTCTCTTTTTTAATGGCTGTTGGCGATACGTGTTCGAAGTTGGGTCAGTGATAACATCACACTTCCAGCTTGAGTTCCTGCGACTAAGGTCCCCTGACACAGAATGTCAAAATGTGATGCCAGACTGATTGTCCCGAACCACTGCAGACATTTTCCAATTAAGGATGAGGGGTAAAATCTTGCAAAATCTTGTAGTGTGTGGTCACCTTTTCTTGTTTTTCTCTGCAGGCTAACAAAAACTTATTGCACCTACAGCTGTGATCAGTACGGCTCACTGCAACAACAACAACAACGTTTTGAGTCATTGCGAAAAGACGTGCACCATCGCACATCGAGTGTTATAAATAGAAAGGATGTTTTAAAAATCTGAGTTGGAAAAACAGGTTCATGTTTAGTTGACCCAAAATAGTAACAACAAGCTGAGAAAAATTACAAAAGTGAAATGTATTACAAAAATATATCTAGATATTCAGGAAATGAATAATTAAAAGTCAACCAAGAAAAAAAATGTTAGCCAAAAAAGTAGTCATCTTAAACAGCTAACAGAAGAACAAAAGGTTGTAAAAACAATTAGGCTCAAATGTATTCTGTAATCTTCCGAGGACACTAGATCTGAAATCTAGCCAAGACGTTAGCTAACACTGCAGCCAGAATAAAAGTAAAACCTGCCAAAGCATAGGCTAAAAAAACTGAATATTTTTTTTCAGCATGACAGAGGTTCTGCTGGTGTGTTGGTTGTTTATTGCACTCTGCTGCTTCATTTAGAAGGACACCCCCCCCTCAACACCCACACCTGGGGGCAAAATAGGAGCTGGTGGGGATAATGTGGGGGTGGGGGGGGATCATATATCCAGGGGGTGAAATGTGAAACCTGATTCACGCGGGAACAAGATCCTGATACTGAACTCATTCTGAGATCTCGTGTTGAAAAAGCAAACTTGCGGGAAAAAGAAAAGGTTTAACGAGAATTTCTCAAACAGAGCTTTCGGTCAAAACCAGAAATCTCAGGTTAACATGTTTACTCATTTTCCTCTGATTTATTACACAATCAACTGCAGAGACAAATTTCTGTTACTGGGTCAACCAGCGCGGCCACGCCTATTGTAAGAGATGATTATGTGAAAAATTTCCAGGTAAAGTATCATGGTGTTTGCTAGCCAAAAGCTAGTTAAAATGAACAGAAATGAACTAAAGAGTTTCCTAGAACAAGGTTAAACTTGGCTCAGGCTCAAACAATGAAACAGCCACACCTTGAAGTTATATTTAAATTTATAATTTTTTTTTTAAAAATAAATAATGATCAACGTTGCAGTGTTAAAATGCATTGGAATCCAACGAAACAAGTTAGCATAAATCAGTCCAACGGGTTGGGTTTAGAACTACAGTAAATGTAAGTAATTGTAATTCGTACAGCAGTGTTGGAGACGTGCACAGAGAGTGTAAACAGCCTCATTAAACAGAACAAACTTAAGAGTGTTTCCTCCCTAGAGAAGACCAGGTGCTGTGAACCAACCAATCAGGAGCAGCTACAATGCAGAAAGAGCGGCAGCAGCAGGGTCTACTGCTGCAGCATTACTAGCAGCAGCAGTTAGAGCAGCGAGGAGGAACATCAGGAAAAACAGGTTCCTGTGTCTGGGACAAGGGCATCGCTGTGGTGACAACAAAGACTGGGAGGGGGAGGAACTCTAACAGCGAGGCAGAGAAGATCATACCTGAGAGACGACACTGAAACCTACGAGTGGAGAGGTGAGGACGGGAGAGGAGGCCCAGATCGCCGTCCGACCAGGGGGGGGACACACACAAGGAAGATGGCTTCAAAAGAACTGGAAAAAAAATGTGAAAAGTGACTTTAGTTACCCCTACTGTGACAATAGACTGTGTTAATGTGAAGATGAGTGTGTAATAGTCAAATTATCATCATTACAGTAATTGTCTGTTCTAAGAGAAGGAAGAAAGTAACAACCACCAGTGTGTGTGTTACCTGCCCTAGCTTTAAAAACATCAATAAAATGATTTGAAAAGTGACACCAAGATATTAATTCATGATCTTTTTTTCCATTTTAAGCATGAAGATTTTAAACAAAGGAAAACAAAAAATCTCTGAGAATAAAGTTAAAATTAAAAAAATTTCAGTTTAATACAATAACTTGAGATGATCTTTGTCGAGAATTCACTATTAAATTATCCGACAAACCATACCTATAGTTCTGCTGTTGTAAGATTTTTTTTTTTTTTTGCCACTTCTCTGTCATGACCTGTGTTTTCTCGTTTATATATAGACACTTCATACAAAACACCACATCAATATTTACACTAAACCAGGTCAAGAGAAACTGAAGATCCTTTAACAACGTGCAAAATAAAGACAAGCCATCGGATCACAGAAAGCACCCTACATTTTATGTATGGAAAACTTCCAGGAGTTTAAAACAGCTCCTTGCATTTACCTCACCTCACCTAAACTTTATCTACTTTGCCTCCCTACTTAGAATTCAAATTCACACACAAGACCTAAAAGGTTGACCATTTCCATAAGGGTAAGACGAACATTTCCCTAACCAAAGGACGCAGAACCGAGAGAACAAGTGTTGCTGCTTGTTTATGGGAAAAAACAGCCTGACATCAACCGAAAGCTGGGAGGTTTCTTTAAAGGCGAAATGTAACTGATGAAAACGTTGGTTTTCTTTTTAATTCACTGGTGTATGAACATGTTTCACCAATTTGTTGGTCTTTCTTTCACTCCAAAGAGATTAGCTTCCCTGTTGTCTATCCAATAGATAACATGTGCTGACAATTTAACTCTTCCTTGATTCAACTTTTACGGGGTCACACTTTTACTGTTTAAAATGGCTGCTCCATATTTTAGCTCTAGGTTTTTAGTTTCAAATGAATTCACTGGTGTGTGTGAACATTTTGCAAAGATCTGTTCACATCTTAAATCTATATAAAAGATATTAGCTTCATTATTAGCAATAACATAAGCCAACGTGTTCCGACAATTCTTTGAATCACAGGTCTTACTGTAATTAATCTTACACTTTACCACTTATACTTAAAGATACTATTATAAATTGCTGTAATTAATCTTACACTTTACCACTTAAAGATACTATTATAAATTGTAATTGCCATTTGGAGTTGAGAAGTGTGCAAAGGTGTGTTAACTTTGCCAATGAGATTAGCTTCCTTGTTAGCTTGCGTTTCTCAACTTGTGAACATTTCTCATCACAAAACCCATTTGGAACTCTACTGGTATAAAATTCTGCTAAAACGTGTGGGGGCAGCGGTGGCTTAGTGATTAAGAAAGCTGCCCACTGTTGACTTTGGTGATAGGTTCAAAGCAGAGGTCACATTTGGTTGTGTGCAGTGGTGTGTTGTGTCACAATGACAAGGAGTTACCTTTCCTTCGTCTCAAACTGAATTAAAAAAAGATTTGCTTCCTTGTTAGCAAAGCTATGTCTCAGGTGTATTACTGTAGCTAGCATTTGTTCCGACATTAATGTGCTTTAGGTGATAGGTGGTTGCAGTGCTTACCACACAAGTGGTTTTGAAATGTCTGCCTTCACTAGTTGGTGACATTCAGCACTGATCGTTGGCACAAACATGTTATTAAGATGTAAATCAGAAGGTGTGTGAGGAAAACAGACTGGAGCAGAGCTTAGTTTCAGTCAATCAAACAGGTGTGAACTGTTTTAGCCAACTCTCACCGCTGCCAGGCAGAACTGTTTGCTAAACCTTATTAAAAACATTTCTTCCATACAGCGCAAGAAATAGACAGGTTGCGAAACAAGAAGTAGCGTTTCCTGGGAGGAAGGAAGTAGAGTAGCAGGGTTTTCAAAACACAACTGTGAGCAGCAAGAGCGGATAGTTCCACCAGAGCCAACTGAGACCACAGATACAAAGGGAAGTGGAGCAGTAAGCCTCACAAACGTCAATGTGTACAATGTTAGTTATAGTACAGAAGAGTTTGAGGAGTTCTCTCGTCTTCAGCTTAGCGGTTCCGAATTGTTTTTTTGGCTCGTAACCGCATTTTGACGTCGCAAATTTCTGAGAGAGACAGTTTATTTTTTCTAGAATTAGTTTTTGATCATGTTTGTTAAATCCTGCTAATACAGAGACGCTAGATTAGTGCACAAAGTGCTGTATGTTTAATCAATTTATGCATTTATGCAACCAAATTTGAATTCCAGGAGACCCTACTTGTGTACTTTTCAGTCTTATCAAAATCGGTAGAGACTGGGTAAGACCTTTTGTGTGTCCAAAGCTAAAAGTGGAAGGCAACCCAAATTAACTGACTGACGAATAAAGAAGAAGATAATCATCTACCATAACTGTCATGCAAAATCACTCACTTTCTCTCAATGAGACCAACCTGTCCCATCTAAAAATGTGCAAAGGCAGGGTGAGCAGTAAGTTTTAACAAAACTATCTACAGTAGATGCGGCTTCAGATCGCTGATGACACTTACAAATTTTAAAATAACGTCAAAGGAGAAAACTTGGACGCAAACACAGTGGCGAGTTTGCCGCTTCTGCACATTAGGAGCCAGGCCTCCCCTCATCACCTGGCCTCACCCTGGTGATACTTCTAATGTTGTCAAAGCACCAGTTCCAGACGATCTCCTGCTGTGTTCATAATGTATGAACACCCAACTCTGGAGAACGTCTAGACTTAAAGCTCGTACACAACCACACCTTATAGTATTCATTACTTAATGGCCAAGTGCTTTGCTAATTGGTTTAGCATTGATTCCCAAACATTTTTTCTGTAGTGCCCCTTTTGGTAAATAGGACCAACCTAAGCTAACAAATAAGTACGTAATCAAACTGAAGTAATTTGCTTTGCCGGTTCCCATTCCCTTCAGGGGACATGCCCCCCATTTTTTACATCAACTGCGTTAACATATTAATGTGCTTTTTCTTTGCCTTTTTTTAATTTTTAAAAGAATCTTACATTTTTAAAACACAAACTGCTCAGGTAAAATATTTTTCTTTGACCAATAAGCAAACATTTAATGTTATTTTAATAAACTGACTGGTCTCCACAATACAGTCAGTGTGAAACAGGACTGTAGATAACAGGACTAAGAGAGTGTAGATTTAATAATTATTATCAAGTCATTTATTTGACAGTTGTGTATATAATGTGTAAACTAGCAGCATGTTGACTGGTGTTTTCTAAACATCAAACTGATGACCTTTCAAAAATGTTCTGTTTTGTCCACAAAGCCAATGGTAAACCCAAAGTCCCAACACTAAAAGATTGGCCAGGGAGCATAAAATAAGAAATTTTCATGGGATTAAGGGAGAAGAGACTGAATTAAATCTGACACGGCAAATGTTTGTGAAAAAAAAAAAAAAAACAGGAAACAAAACAAACAAAAAACCACAATAAAGCAGGTATCTTTTCTTCTAAATAAATTAAATTGCAAACAAAAAACCACAATAAAGCAGGTATATTTTCTTCTAAATAAATTAAATAGCCAATCAAATATTTTGGTCCATACTTTAAAAAAATTGTCATTTTGTCAATAACCTTCAACTGTCTTTCAGAGGTCTTTAAAATAACCTCAACTGATAAGTTCATAAGTGCAAGGATTTTTTTAATAATTTAAAAAAAAAATTAATTAATTAATGCAAGCGGAACAACAACAATTAATTCATTTTCAGTTGTTGATTAATTAAGTAGCAACTGGCCACTGATTAATCAGCCTTTTTTTTTTTCACACAGGCTCCTATTTGTTATTTTCAGAACAGTTAACCGATCATTCCATCCAAAAAGAAATATTTATCTTTATTAAGATATTTTGCGGGTAAAACTGGCTGAAACAACAACAATTTTACGACTGCAAATATAATTTACTTGCACCTAAAAGTGGATACAGACAAAAAAATTAAAAAAAAAACAACCGCACCTAAAAGTGGATACAGACAAAAAATAAAAAAATAAAAAAAAACCCAAACGATTAACATGATACAATACGACAGTGGTTAAGATACGATATTATCAACCGTGTGGTTTCAGCTAAAATGTAAGAAAACAACGAAAGTGTGTGAGTGTTAGTTAAAGAAAGGTGAGACGCCCAGGTGAGGCGACAGCCCTTCACCAGGTGGAGATGAGCCGTTTCAAACCAACGGAAAGTCACATTTAAAACACAACGCAGTCGCAAATTAAACTCTTTCGGTTACCCACCTGCTTCCAATTTTGTCGTGCAGAAAATATGAGCTAGTGAGTTGTTCTCCTTGTCGCTCGCTTTACGGGAGTTTTGGTCACCGCACCATATTCGTCTCCTCTTCCTGCTCGTAGACACACACGCAGACAGACATACCTGCTGTTGCTGCTGCTACTGCTGTTGCTCGGTGGCTCCCCGCCCTCCTACCTCCGCTGCCTCACCTGTCCTGCCCCCGCTGAAAACCAGAAGGACCGGTCCCACACCTTCGCCTCTGTCTCCACATCTACAATAATAAAGAGACTTAGAAAACAACGCGAGAAGACGACCACGGGCGCGAGAGAGGGAGAGGTGTGTTGGTCATGTGACTAACGGCAGGTAAAGGTGTTTGGTCGATATGGGCTGTTCTAGCCTGTTTGGCGCCTTAAGCCAAATAGATTCCAACTAAAAGGTAAAAGAATAAATAAATGAAAACTAAGCATACCAAGTAGTTATATTACCGCATTATTATTATTATTATTATTATTATTATTATTATTACCAGTTTCTGCTCCTGGCATAGTCCAATGGTCTGCGACCTGAATAATAAATATATATTTAAATCTTACATATGACGTTCCTAGTCATTTCATTTGTACAGTTTCTATTTACTACTTTACTGTGACTTACACAGTGTAGGTAACGTATTAAACTAAACTAAACTATTAAACAAAAATTGACAAACTATTTTGGAACATTTAGCATATACTGTATACTTGCAGTATACTGGAACAAATTAATTTTGGAGCTGTGTACATTTTAGTTCATTGCCTGTCATCTGGCACAGGAGAAGATTTGATTTTAAAAACAACACTTTGTTTACAGTTGGTGTAAAACGGTACACACAGTTACAATCAACAAACTAATGTAGGAACTGTACAAAATGCAGTTCATTGTCAGCCTCCTGGCACAACAGCTCCTCATGAGCGCACTGTTGTTGAGATGTCAATGTTGTTTGTGATCCTGTAGAAAGTAGTAGAAGATTTACAAATTGTACCGTAGTCAACTAACTTCAGTGCTACATACGTACATCCAAACAAAGTACATGTATTTACAACAACTTAGAGAGCAACAATGTGGCCCAGCAATAGTTCAACAACCTTCTTAGATCAAAGCTATTGAATAATGAATTTAGATGGGCCAGATTTTCAACCTATGAAATTCACACACATTCTTCAAGACATGACAGGGGTGCATTGTGAGTTGCATGTTGCTTTGCTGTATTCTTGGTCATCTGTCATCTGTTTTGAACTGTAAATATGATGCTTGGTTGAAGGTTACATTTAAAAAACTGAAAAAAGACGCAGAACTTAAATTAAATAAAGTGAATTATTTGTCATTGTAACACAGCACACAACCAAATGTGACCTCTGCTTTTAACCCATCACCAAAGTGAACAGTGGGCAGCTTTAAGCTGCCCAGGGAGCAGTGTGTGGGGACAGTGCCATGCTCAGAGCACCTCAGTGGTAACTTGGCAGCTGGTGGACTCAAACCTGAAACCTTCTGGACCAAAAATCCACATCCTTAACCACTGAGCCACTGCTCCAATTAATAATTAAAATGATCCACCTGTAGTGAAACATAACTGCCATCTGCTTCTTTGTGCCTTTATCCTGTAACCATGCACTGATTAAAGTAAAATATATATTTGCAAAATAAAAGCTGAACAACAAAATTACATTTTCGTTCACTTGGTACTGCACTTTAGGACTGTTATACATTACCTCTCTCTTCACACAGGATTGTAAAAAGGTGTGGACAATTTGTATTTAGATGCATATGTTACCAATTTAAGTGATATAAAAGTGAATTACTATAGTAATAAAACCATGGCTGGAATCAGACGGCACCAAATTTGTTAGGAACCATATTTTTTTGAGCAGCAATAGCAATTGTTGAGCAGCCCATTCATCCATCCATTTATTTTCATCCGCTTATCCGTTAACGGGTCACGGGGGCAGCAGTCTCCATGACCGCCACCCAGGTCACATTGCACCGTACCAACCCCCCTGAACCTTCCTGCAGGTGGCCAATCCACACGAAGGTATCAACCAGCCCTTACTGGGATTCGATCTTGCCCAGGAGGTGAACCCTGGGGTTCCACACCAATGACAGAGACATTGCCTGTTGAGTAACCACTCTTTTATTTTTAACAATAGTATTGGGGGGAAAAAAAATTATACAAGAAAATAAATAAGGACCCACATAACCAGAAACAAAATGTGTGTACATTTGAGATAAAAGAAAAAAAAAAGCACCACACAGTGATTCAAATTCTCCAATATTGCTGCTGGTTTTTATTGAAAGTCAGACACTGACATTTTAAAAAAGTTGCAATGTAGACCATAAAAAATAAATCACTAAAACTTAGTTTTAAAATATATATATATATAAAAATATATAAAAAAGTCTTCACTAGACAAAGAACAAAGTATCGTATGCTGGTTATCTATACACTGACATAATACTTACCTATATGTTATATACCTTTTACTCATTATTATTACAGTTATGCTCTTTATCCATAATTTAAATTGGTCTTATATATACATTTTTACCAATACTGTTTATACTGCTTATCTACTACTTTTGTAAACGACTTATCTATACATTTTGTTTTTACGTATCTTATTGCATTTTATTATTGCTTTAACGTCTAGGATGTTCTTCTTTTTACTTGTTTTTGTTTTTTATTGTCTATTGTGTGTAATACTGCTTAAAAAGACTATGTTCATAAACTGGTTTAAATTAAAAGAAAAGAAAAAAAAAAGAAGAAAAAACCCAGATAAGAGGTTGATGATGGATGGATAAATGGATGGAAAAACTGAAACAATTGAAAATGTACTTAAACGTGTTACTGTTAATGAGAAATACAGACTACAGACAGCGCCATTTATAAAGCGGCTCATGTTATAACATAATACCAACATTTAGCTTCGTGACTTTGAAAGTGAAAAAAAAAAGGGCTGCGATATTCTGATTTACTTTTCGGTTTATTATTGTTGCAGTATTTAATTTCAATCTATGCAAAATATTTTCTCAATATATTTGGAGTGTTAAGGCGGGTTATGTTCTGTGGACTGTTTCATTCATCAACTTCACATTAACACTGGAACTGTATACTTGGTTATATCTTATATCTATTTTTTGGGACATGTTTTTTTTTTTTGAACATTTTGTAAATATTCTGAGTTTTTAATATAGCAGTTATCATTAATAGAATGCTACTGTGGGAGCAGCTAACCAATTATATATCCCCTGGGGACCAATTAGGTTTCTCTGATTCTTCAAACAAAGGAGACTGTCATTTTTCTCACTACCGTTTGAAACCACCAGATGTCACTGCAGGACTATAGGTGTAGGGCTGCTCCTGCGTCAGACCCCGTAGCTGAGCTGTGGCGGCGGGACAGAATATGATCGATTGATGCATTCGTATAAATCACACACCTTTTGAAATTGCAATCTTAATTTAACGACTTGACATTTGAGTGAATTCATAAACTTACATTTAAACCTATTCATTTGCCTGAGCATTTTTTCTTAGACAGTTGTGGAAGACTTTCCAAGAATCATCTCGTCTGTCAAATATCAATCTTCCATATACGCAGACGTCGGAAGTTGATGTGCAAAACGTCAATTCCACATAAAAGTCTCATCTTTTACTGTACGTCACTAAAAGTTTAAAGTCTACACTTACTGCTGACAGCAGGTTCATTTCTCACTCTCCTGTGCCAAATTCCATAGAGAAAACAAATTATTTTACACCTGAGCACACGGGAGTTTTCCATCCACTGCTGCGTCAATGGAGAGCATTGAATAAGTGGCGCGAAGTGATTACAAAACAAACTGTGTTAACCAGAAGCTCTGTAATAATAACAATTAATTACATTTTATGTGTCATAATGAGAAAAGCATTTCAATTTATGGCTGAAGATAAACAAAGGTAATTTTTATTCAATATTTCTATCAATATACAGACTAAGAACCTGGACTCTGGTCTGTTGCTATCTGGCTACACTGTACCAAGACTGTTGTAGCTAACGTCAGCTCTGAGGTCTGTACCAGGACTGGTATACCTAACACTACCTGTGACCTCTATAAAAGGACTTTTTGTAGTCCTTTTACAACACTACCTGTGACCTCTATAAAAGGAGTTTTTGTAGTCATTTTACCTCTGGTGTCCGTCCCAGGACTTTTGTAGATAACATTAGCTGTGGTATTTGTACCAGGACTGTTAGCTCTAGTTAGCTCTAGCTAATTGTCATTTGTGCGCTCAACCAATACACCCTGTGCACAACGGCCACCTACAAGCTGAAGCACATGTATCGGTGTTACATGTGTATTGGAAATTAGAAAACGTATTTCCAATCGATTCAAACTAACTTGTTAAAGTCCCAGACCTACTTTTAATTTTTCCAATTGCAAACTAACTTGTTAAAGTCCCAGACCTAATTTTTCCAATTGCAACGATCTTTCTCCGTTTCTGTCTCTGCTGCCAGCTCTTGATTTCACGTGGAGTGTGTGGTCCTATCTTTGTGAGCACATTCTCATCTTTGTGTGTGTTCCTCCCCTGCCTCCCTCTCTTCCTCCCTCCCTACCTCACGTCTCTCTGTCGGCACATTCAGGCCCTCACCTCGCGGCTGAGTCGATCCTCTTACAGTAATACGGTTGCCCTAATCTCAGAGGCGTATCACAGGAGGCTCAGAGCGCTCGGCACTAATAGGTTCACACAAATGGGATCTAGTCAAAAAAGCTCCCAATCCTCCTGCCACTGTAAATATGGAGCGCATTATCTGCCTTGCGGGGGTCTGCGATGTGGAACCGATGCAGATTTGACATCGACTCGGATAGATAGTGGCCGCCAAAAAAGACGATTTAACACGCTGTTAGCAGTGTCACAGAAGACGTTTAATTGGTTGTTTTGGGCGAATGGAGTGAAATTTAAACTGATCTCAAATACCAGGATGGGTTTTTATAAACAAAACTATAGTAACAAAAATGTGTAGCTATGAAAACATGTAGCTTTAAGGAGTACAGTCTGAAAAAAAAAGCTCTTCATCAGCCATTCACTTCCACACACCGAAATCCATTAAGAAAAGCAGAGTTCTAAGCTCACAGGGATGGAGAAGCTGCTGTTGCTTCATCTGAATATTTTGGGTCATTGAAGTTATCTCTGAAATATGAGTTTCAAACAGTGAAATGACAGAATATCACACTATCAACTATTGATGGTGAAAGCCTTTTCTCTCCGATGCAAACACTGTCAATTTTGGAAGAAGTTCTTCCCACGTTCTCTTTGAACACCTGAATGTCACTTTGCTATGTAGGGGCATGACGTCCAACTGTTTTTGGCGCATACCGCCACCTACTGTACTAGAGTGGACTACTACATTTTTGAGATAAGACAGCCTACTCCTTCCGATGGAGGCCAATGA